CCCCCCCCTTCCCCCCCCCCCCCCCAGTCAAAATCAGTAAAATATAGTCTTCAACTGGGAGTATGTTTTGTTTACTTTTTATTGTGGAACAATTTACATACAGTGGATTATACTAATCTTAAGTATTGCTGTTCAATTGTTTTGACAAATATATAGCTAGTGTAATCCACCCTACTGGGAAGATACACAAGTGATCATTTAGGCCAGAACGAATACCAGAAGGATGCTCCCTTTTAATGTGACTGGGTTTTTTTTTTTTTCTTCATGTTTGACTTTGCTCACATGTGATCAGGGAAGAAGAGGTCATGGAAAAAAAAAAAAACTGGGCAAGGGAAAGATCTAGAGAACAATGACAGGTGGTAGCCAATGGAATCCAATCCATTTGCATGACATCAACAGCTAGGGAGAATTCAAGATATGCTATTTTTAAACAAATATTAGCACTTGGAATGGCTTGTTTATATAACTCCCCCTAAAACAAATGGCAAGCTATAAAGTTGCAGTAGAACAAGAGAATCCCCAATCCCTTAATCTGTAGAAGAGTTCAATCCCTCTCAGAACAATGAAGAAGTTGTATCAGAACTGAAAAGAAGAAAGGGGGGAAAGAGCCAATTCAATGGAAGAATTTTGTACTGCCTAGAAAGATCTCTTGTAGATAAACATATCCAAGAAGAGCAGGGCGGAGGAAGACTGGCGGCACCACGGTGGAAATTTACGAGAGCTCTGAAATTGCCAATAGGATAAAGGCAAGTTATCACCCTCTTTGGAATTCCAGCTATCAGGGAAAAAATGGGCCTTCCCAGAAGAATGGGTGTACACTATCCTGAATAAGAGTTCCTCGGTGCAACTCTGTGGGTCAGGAATGGGCAAAATAAGTCATCATAGCAGGGAACCAGGATTCCCACAATCTAAAAAAAATCCCTTCAAAAATGGCTAATATTGCTATCAGTAGTTTTGGAGATGTGAGTAATTAGTAATGCTTTAGATCCTGAGTTGACTAGGAAGTGCAGGACCTTTCCTTATGTTTTTATAGTTTCTAACTTATGATCACTGTTTTTACAGAATGGTATGGAACTCATTCTTAATAATCTAGTTTCTAGAGATAATACTTAGAGTACCTTTTATTTTACAATGTCAAAAACGATCAGAATGAGTGCTAACTGATAATCTGTTCTTTTTTCTGACAGCGGGAGCTGAATTACTGATACTTTTCCCTGAGGCAGCCTCACAAAGTAGCTGTAGCCCATAGATTTATGAAGAAATATAAGAAATTTAGTATCACAGGATTATATTTCTTCATTAATTTATATACTAGACGGGCATGTGAGCTCTTTAATTTATAAGTCTCTTTTAGGCAAATGACGATTGGCACTGTTGTACTGGAAATATAAGAGGAAGCTTAGACTGGGTGTATACTACTAGTAAACGGAAGACAGACTGGAAAGCTGTTTGAAGGCTGTGACATTGTATTTCACTTTGAGCAGACACCTTGAACTCCACGTATTAAACAAGAGTTGATATTAAAGCATATATTTTTAATACTTACAGAGTACGAACAACAGATCTATAAATGTAAATTAAAGAGCTCACATGCCCGTCTAGTATATGTGAGAAAGCAACTGTGTTATTTTAGCAATTTCTAATTTATGCCCAGAGCTGTATTTTAGATCACTTTTCTGATCCAAATGACCTTTATAATTCCGTTTAAAAAAGAAAAACATCTGGTAGGGACTAAATGCAAGTGAGGAGTGAAAAAATTAAATCAACAATTTTCTCTTATTTGCCTAGACTTTCTTTTCAAAGGACTGGCTTTTAAAACATGACAGTTTACTAATGCATAGAAGTTCTGTGAACCCAGCTTCTAGCTTGGGTTTAAAGGCAGGAAGTATAAATTGCCAAGTACCAAAATAAAGCTACACAGGAAGACACGGACTGTGTGGGTGGGTCTGTGGTGTGTCGTGTGTGTGTACTCACCCTGCCACTCACAGTGGCAGGACGAAGGAGAGAAATGGTAGTGCAGAACAACATACAGTATACCTCAAAATAGGCTTCTGCTGCAAAAGACCTGTGAACATGGAGGGATCCCGAAACGCAACTTGTGAAAATCCAATCTGCAGTTTAGGATCGGGGGTGAAGTAATACAGAGAGAGATTGGAACTGGGTCAGAGCAAACATATATATCACAAGCAAATGCTGCTTGGCAGCAAATCAACACCAACAATGGAAATAATTGAAGGAAATTTAATTTCTAAACTGGAGAACAAAAGGACAGCCACTTCAATGCCATTGCAAATGCAATTATCTTCTCCTATCTCCAGTAGAGCTGTGAATTGAAAATCCAGTAGAATGCTGCCCCTGCCCCTGTGAGCTCTACTGAATGTTAACAGGTCAAAGATTCTCTCTAAAGGAGAGATAAGCAGCTCCACCATAATAAGATGCAGTTTAACAAAATATCTTAAAAAGCAGAAAGAGAAAGAAAAAAAAGAAAGGAAAGAAAAAAAGAAATTGGAGCTATCCTTTGAAATAGAACAACAGTAAGATATTTTACATAGTCTAACTAATAACATAATTCAGAATCTATCTTCGTGGAAGAATATCATACAGTCTGGGCTACAAAGAAGACCAGGTATTGTAAACAGGTTCACTAGTTCACAGCTGATTTCCATAGAGTATAATGAATCTCCTTTTTAAATGACCAGGCTATTCATCTCAACATGTGCACAGCGCGTGTGGCTTAGGGCACCCAGAAGCTCAGAGGATGAGCCAGACTTGAGATCTCCTCACCCTGCAGCCTTAGCATCTGAGTTATGCTAGAGCACTGATGAGAAAATGAAGTAGTCAAAATTCAGCCCAGATCCTGGTTTTTTTTTAAAGGTGCATTTTTCTTAATTTAAAAAATTGACTGCTACCGAAAAAATAGTATTCATCAAAAGACAATCTAAAGAAAAGTAAAACTCCTAATTAAAACTGGAGGAAAAATGTCTCCAACAGAGGACCAACAAAAAACAGAGCTCTTATATAAATCGCTAAGAAAAGCACAATCAACTCGCAAGAACAAGCCAGAGATATTTCACAGAAGAGCAAACATCTATGGGCCGGCCCGGTGGCGCACTGCTACAGTGCGCCGCTTGGGAAGCGCGGTGGCGCTCCCACCGAGGGTTCGGATCCCACATACAGACCGGTTCCCACTCACTGGCTGAGCGAGGTGCGGGCGCAACACCGAGGGTTGCGATCCCGTTGCTGGTCCCGGTCTGGTACGGGCGCGACACTGAGGGTTGCGATCCGTTGCCGGTCACGAAAAAAGACAAAAAAGGAAAAAAAAATAAAATAAAATAAAATAAAAGAAGAGCAAACATCTATGACCCAATGACATAAATAAATGTCACTTTCATTAACAATAAGGGAAATGGAAATCAAAATCTGTAAGATATCGTTTTATATCCATTTGGTTGGCAATCTGACAATATTGAGTAGTGAGAGCATGAGGATTTACAAGATCTTTATTACTGGTAGGAGTAAAAACTTATTACTGGTAGGACATATAAGCACTTTTGAAAAATTTGCATTATAAAACAGAATGTACATATTCTTAATATCCATTAATTCTATTCCTAGGTATACATGCAAAGTAAATTATTATACATGTACCGCAAGAGATAGGTACAAGAATGTTCAAAATAGCACAGTTTCATAAAAGCAAACCAGAAAAAAGCTGAAATGACCACCAATCAGAATACAGATAAGAATAAACTGTGGTATATCCACACAATGAATTACAGAGACAAATAGCATAGAAAAATCTTAACAATGCAACATTAAGTGAAAAATTAAACCCCACAAGATTACATATAGACCCTTTTTATAAAGGTAAAAACAACTTTATAAAAACATACTTTTTAGGAAATGCAATACAATTCTATAAAAGGAAAGCAAAAAAATGATAAACAGGGGTTTCAGGATGATGATTACTTTGGGTAGGGGTGGCAGAGGGACAGAACAGAAGAGCGCACAGGTATATTATCAAGGTCCTAGCTTTTGTTTTGATTGGTGGGGGTCTTAGTTGCTTACTATATTATTTTTTTAATGAAATATTTAAACAAATAATAAAATGTCTGAAAATAAGTCATAGAGCAATAATGATCATGAACCAAGGATTACGATTATGACAATTAAAAAACATGGCGTTACTGGTTTACCTTCATAAAGCTGTGCATACTGGGGGAAACCAGTTGCTCGTAGCCAATCACATGCTTCCTTGGCTTCGATTTCTAGAACAGAACAGAGAAAAACAAAATTGTTAGCCATGTGCATCACAGCCCACTTCTTTTCCCTTAATAAACTTCGATTTTATTATACAGCAAAACATGACCTCTGTAGAAAACACAGATAAGCAAACAAAACAATTTTTAAAAATTCAGTAAATTCAAAAGGTTGAAATTTTTATGCATTTTTTCAGACTTTTTCAAACGTATAGAATTATGTACCTGTCCTTTAAAAAAAATACAAATGGGTCCTAGCAGTAAGTTACTCTGTGCTGCTTCTAACGTGCTCTGGTTACAAATGATTATGAAAATAGGGCAAAATGAGACAGATCAAGAGGGATTAAATAACCAATTTTAAGCCTGGCTGGCCTAACTAGGTTTACTTTTCACTTTAACCAAAGGCCACCAAGTTCCTCTGACACACAAGAATAAGACTTAACTGAGCACAGTAACAGGCCTCCTGACACCCACGGGATGGGTGGTAAATCTCCAGATGTTGTGGTGTGTGTCTTTGGGTGCACGGTGTATTCACCCAGTAGGAGAGAGGCCCGGCTGACCAGGCTCAGGGAGGGCATGAAGTCAGTAAATCCCACAACCTTGGCAGGCTGAAATGCCTAACAAAGCTTCCATTTCCCTGTGGTTCAACATCATGTAGATAGGACTGATAAACAGAAAGGCCAAGAGCAACTGACACACTGTGTTAAAACTCACTCAAGCACATATTTACAATCCCGTTAAAACTGACTCACAGGGGAGGTCCTGCGTACGTTGATTAGTTTCTCTGTTTGCACAAAGAATATTCCTTTCAACTCTCCCCACCATCCTCAGGCCATTAGAGTACTGAGTTATGTAAGGCTATTCACTCATTTATGAAGCTCTCAACGCTGCTTAATTGATCCCAGATTCAAATCTTCATTAAGCATCTCTCCTCTGAGCCGGATGTGAGACAGATAGTTAAGAGAAGTATACACATCTTAAGGTTTCAAAGCATTTTTCACCTATTATTTCATGAGTTCCGTGGCCTTTTTTAAGAAAGATAATTAAGAAAACTCAAATTCATTAAAGCAAGTAGGGATGTCCCTACTGAGCAACAAGGAGAAAAACAAGCTGCTCTCTTCTGATGAGTTAGTGAACACACAAACGAAAACCGACTAGGGCACAACAGTAGAAATAAACAGGGCACAAGGCTGACTTTCACAAACCTTCTCAGTGTAGCGATGGAAGCAGCATTATGAAACACAAGATTTAGGACTGAATTGGTTGTGGAGGATAGAGTGATATAACATGGAAGAACTTCAATGTTTGGACCAAATAAAAGAATAGATAGAATTGTCCAACGTGAATGACCTGAGCTTAACATTTTTTTTCATGTATTTATATCCATACATTCTCAGGAAGAAATTCAGGAAGTTTTAAATAAAATGATAAAATAATAGACACTTTCTAGAAAACTATATTGCTGGAAAAACACAAAAGCTCAAGATTTTACTTTAAAGAATGAAGAAATTACTCTTTCCCTATCTCCCTGCTCTCCCCCCCCCCCTTCAAAGACAGATATAGAAAGAAAAAAGGCTATTTGTTTTTAAAAATATTTTATTTTATTTTTATTTTTTTTAATTTTTTTGTCTTTTTGTCTTTTGTCCGTGTCCGGCAACGGATCGCAACCCTCAGTGTTGCCCCCGTACCGGACCGGGGACCGGCGACGGGATCGCAAGCCTCGGCGTTGCTCCCGCGCCTCGCTCAGCCAGTGAGCGGGAGCCGGTCTGTACGTGGGATCCGAACCCTCGGACGGGAGCGCTGCCGCGCTTCCCAAGCGGCGCACTATCCAGTGCGCCACCGGGCCGGCCCTAAAAATATTTTAAATAACTCTCTTCTTCTAGATATTTAGAGGTTATTTTCGTTGGACAGATTGGTAGACATCGAACGATGTGTTGTTAAAAAGTACATGTGCTTGCTTTCTTAATGCTTTACTAACAGGTGTCAAGGAACCAGAAATTCTCAATGTCCACCATTGAGACTATGGTCAGACATGACACCAGGCCAGCACACACACAAAAGCCTTAATTAGACACCAATTCACTAGCTGATTTCGCCACCTATTTAGAGCACGTTCCTGATTTTCTTATTAAAATGGTTTCAGCCAAAGAGGCATGAAAGACGTAAAATACTATTTTCTAAGAAATCTTAACATTTATTTATACAACACTTTTCAAATTGCAAAGTTGACTCTTTTAAGATCCCATGTGATTTCAGGAACACACAAATGCACACTTCTTTTTTTTTTTTTTTTTTTTTTTTTGTCTTTTTTCCGTGTCCGGCAACGGATCGCAACCCTCAGTGTTGCCCCCGTACCGGACCGGGGACCGGCAACGGGATCGCAAGCCTCGGCGTTGCTCCCGCGCCTCGCTCAGCCAGTGAGCGGGAGCCGGTCTGTATGTGGGATCCGAACCCTCGGACGGGAGCGCCGCCGCGCTTCCCAAGCGGCGCACTATGCAGTGCGCCACCGGGCCGGCCCCAAATGCACACTTCTGTCTCATCCCTTTCTTGTTTTCTACTGCTAAGAAAACAAAATGCCCCCAAACGACCACAAATTGATCTATAAGCTGTGCACAAATAGTCACTCGTAGGGCCGTTTAGTTAGAAAGAAATGATGTGAACAGGTGAAGGTTTGTTTCTTCAGCAGATAATTTAATTAAAAGCTTATACAATGGCTAAAAAGCAGTACTTTCAAGAACTGCAGAGATTCATTTTTACCCTCCCTTTTCTCCATGATAAAATAGATGAAAATTTGTCTTTCTTTTAGATGTGAAACCATGGGAAATGGATTAGTGGATAACTATTTTACATTAAAAAATGTCCAGTCACGAAAACTTAGGATGCGTAACAAATGAGAACGTAACCCACTTTTCCAGCAGAAATCAGAATTAGAAAACCGTATAAAGTTATCACAGATGTTTTAGGAAACAGAATACCTGTTGATGGCACTCCCGCCCTTCCCAATTAACGTCAAGAGAAAGTACTGATAACCCAATACTGATCAATATTTTAGTTTTATCTAATAGGAAATGATCCTATGTCTACATCCAAGTCAGTCAGGGAATACCCTTTCTAGTTCCATTCCCTGATTCAGGCCGCTGGATTTACTCTTATCTCCTAACTAAAACTTCAGGTCTCCAGCGAATCCATCCAGCTCTCCTCAGAGGCTCATATCAAACTTGCTAAATTGCAGTTTTGATCTTGTCTCGCCCTCACAAACTTTGCTGGAGCCTCCGCTGCCCAGAAAATCAAGTCTAAACACCTCTGTGTGGTTTCCAAGGCTCTCCACGTGGCATCCAACCTCATTCTTCAGTTCCCTGTACTCCTGCATCCGAGCCAAAGTAAACTTGTGTTCATTCCACACACACCACTGTGACTTCTCTGGCCTGAAATACCCTCCTGTCCACTCAGGGTCAGATTTCACTCATCCTTCAAGGTCCAGACCAAATGCAGCCTCCTCTATGCAGTCTTCCCAGATGCTTCTCGACAGACCTATCAATGGCTAAGTTTACTGAGGGCTTGTGTGTAAGACCCTGTCTAAGCATGTGGTGCATGTCAGTTCACTTACTCCTCAGACTGATCCTAAAACGTGGGTTACTAACATCATCCCCAAGATAAACACATGAGGAGGAAACAGGCAGAGAAGTAACCAGCTCTCCTTAAACATGAGCTTTCTACGTTCCAATGCCATATGGGAGAGGGAACGAAGACCTACAGAAATGCGAGTTTCTTCCTGCAAAATGGGTTCTTTCCTTAAAAAAAAAAAAGTAACAATAAACAAAATTTAAAATATTAAAAACCATGAACATATTACATTTCTTCAGTCACCTTACTATCCCCCATGCTCGCTTTTGAAGGCCTCTAAGCAGCTCTGAGGGTCTGATTTTTCCTTTAGTATAAGTGGGTGGTGGTGTCAAAACCATGAGGATGATTTTTGAAAAACATTCCCCACCGGGCAGAAGTGCCATTAAAAACTGAAAACACAATGGAAATACAATGAAACTTTTATACCTGGGTTTTCTCTAAGCAAACAGCAGACGAATGTGTTAAGGAGGAAATAGGAAATTTTTACGGGACACAGCTTTAGTCTTTAGTTGGTTCACAAAGCAGTTCTGCATGTTAGATGAATGAGGTCTGGGAGACGCTTTTGTACATGGCTGGGAACCATTAGGACGTATTTGCACATTTCCTGCATGGTGGGATGGCCCTATCTTCCCATTACCCCTCAACGGTAAGTTCAACAGAAATTCCCCAGCCCCGTCATCATTCTGTTGACCTCTGTTGATCTTATTCAGCTGAGCTACAGTAATTGGGTCTAAGCAGGATGTGATTACTTCCATCTTCCGTTCACTCTGTCTTCACAGTGGGAAATCCCAGTTCTCCTCCCTTCTTTGACAACATCTACGCAAATCAGGACCCAATGCAAAGGCATCAAATTTGTTTTTTAAATGCAATTCTAAGGAATTAGAGGAACGCAAGAAAATTCAAGAGCTTTCCAGATTCCTGGACTTTCCTGAAATATGACAGACGTGTGGGCAAAGATTCATGGAAAAGTTGATGCTTTTACTGCTACAGAGAACCATGTCAGCTGTGTGCAGGCAGGCGGTGCTTTCTGATCCAAACCAAGATTCATTCCCCTCCCCTAGGTGACATGGATTCCTTCGAATGGGAGGAAAGACTGCTTATCGAATATCCTGACCACATCAAGGTGGCCAAATTTATAGGGCTGTCATGCAGCTGGATACAATGGCTTTAATAACAGCCTATCTTGACCTAATGGGTGGATGTCACAGAGCAGGTCACCTGGAGAAGCAAACCACGGCCTCAAACACTTGTAGCAAGGTTGGAGATCTCAGTGACTCTCAACCCTGCATATAGGTAGGCATCGCCTTGGGGAGTTTTCACAACACACCTGTGACCACCTGCTCCCAGGTATTCTAATTTACTCAATATAGGCAGGGCCCGACATC